GCCCCTGCCCTCCTCCGCACCCGCTGTTCTGCGCTTTGTTCCCTGGCACTCCTTCCCACAGCCGCGCCTTGCCTCCGTGTCCTGGGTGTTGCTGGTGCGCTCGCCCGCTGCGTGGTCACTCTGGCTGAGGGGCCGCTGCTCTGTGGTGGGGCCTGTGCGTGCTGGGACTTGTTGAGCAGCACCCCAGCCTTTGCCTGCCAGGTGCCTGTGCCCCCCGCCCCCGGCTGTGGCAGCCAGGAGTGTTGGACCATGCCACAGTGCCTGGCGTGGGGCTGATCCCAGAGGGCAGCCGGCTTGCCTGCTGGCCATGGAGAAGGAGCACGGCTGCTGAGGCGGGTGGTGCGGAGCCCTAGCAGCGAACCGTGAGGCCTGGAGGTACCCAGGGCTCAGAGGCAGGCTTGGCCCGGTGGCCGCATGTGCTAGGCAGGGAGGGCAGGGCCAGGATCAGAAGTCTCAAGCCGCTCTCCCTCAGCCCTGGCTTGCTGCTCACCTGTGGAGGTGCTGGTGCAGGGGTCGTGAGGCCGGATGGGGCAGGGCCCACGTGACGGGTAGTCGGTGCTAAGTAAGAGAACCCTTTCCCCCTCTGGGCCAGAGTTCCTTTCCAGAGCCCCAGGACAGGGCCCCTTCCAGGCCTTCCCCTGGTTCCTGAGCATGCTTGGCTCTTTGGGGACTTCTCTGAGGTCACCTGGGTCCCAGGGAGAGTGTCATGAGCATGGACACTCAGGGCCAGGAAGTCTCTCACAGAATCAGGGCCCGTGAGAAAGACCTGAAATACCCACAGGTGTTGCCTTGGTCTTGGGGACCTCGGGATGGGCTGTGTGGGACTGGTGCGCGGCTCCTCTGCGAGCAGCTTGCTCCAAGGCTGCCTCTGCTGACAGTGGGATGTCAGACCTACCCTCACACCCACAACCCCTGCACGCCCGCCTTGTGCCTGCCAGCGTGGGTCTCTCCTCTCAGACCCACTCAGCGCTGCAGGCCTGTGCAAACCCTTCCCTCATGGAGCTACAGAGAGCTCTCCTAGGGTGGAGTTGGTGCAGTCTCAGCTGTGGGCGTCTAGGCAGCCCTGTCTAATCTTCTTAAGTCAGACATTGCCAAGGCACGGCACTGATAACCCTGGAGGCCAGTCTGTTATCACCATGCTGGGCCCTGGTGCCCAGAGAGGTTCACGCACTTGCCTGAGGCCACACAGCTAGGTAGTGGCAGAATCACAGTTGAACCCAGGCTGTTTGGCTCGCGAGTGGCTTCTCTGAGGTATAACTGCAGAACGATGAGTGGTGAAAAGTGGCAGGAGAGAGGCCAGTAGGATTTAGGGAGAGTCAGTGACAGGGGAGCCTTGCTGGAGTGGCCAGGGAGCCTCTCTGAATAGATGACTGGCAGGACTATGGCCCAGCTTGTATAGGGTTTCAGCCACGGGGATTCTGGACAGAGGGAATAGTGTGTGCAAAGGTACTGTAGTAGAAAGGAAGATGGCTCATTTAAGCTGTGGTGCACGTCTGTAATCCCAGCTACTTGGGAGGCTGAGGTAGGAGGATTGCAAGTCCGAGGCCAGCCTGGGTAACTTAGTGAAATACTATCTCAAAATAAAAATGAAAGAAAGGGCTGGGGTGTAGTTCCGTGGTGGAGCATTTGCCTGGCATATGCACGGTGCTGAGAAAACAGACTCATTTGAGGGGTGGCTCGGGGAGCAGTGGCTCGGCCGTGAGTGAGGGGCTGGTGGGAGGAGACGTGGCAGGAGTTTGGTGTCGGCTGGGGGTGTGACCTCAAGTCAGCTGCCGAATTCTTCTTGGCCTTGGTTTCCTCACTCCCTGTCAGGGGTGCTGTGGGGCTGGTGTGGCCCGAGGATGCAGACCTGGCACTGGGCACACGCACAGGCCCTGTGAGTTGAGGCTGGTGGGCCTGTCGGGCTTGGCCAGCAGTGGCCCGAGAGCCTGTGTTTGTTGTGACGACGGTCACCCCCTCAGGCTGCACCTGGGTAGCCTGCCTGGCCGTCTGGGCCCTGACGTTGATGGCAGATCACGGCAGTGGCGGCCTGAGGCTTGTTTCTGGGCTGTCTCCATGGTGATCTCACCCACTGCCTACGACAGCTGGTGTGGGTGTACCACAGGGCCCAGGTCACTCCTGACGCATGCTGGTGTCCCTGCAGGACAGGTGGCAAGGCCAGGCCGTGTGCTGCCCAGCCTGGGAGGAGGGGTGGGCCTTAGCACCAGCCTTGCTGTGGACGAGGACATGCCCTGACAGGTGGGGAAGCTGAGTCCTGGTGCGGGGGCATCTTGCAGTGTCCCTGAGTCTGCAGTGTAAGGTGGGTGGCAGGCCAGAGCCAGAGGCAGCCTGGGATGCGGGTTCAGCTGAGAACCCCCCAGAGGAGGCCAGGTCTGTAAGGGGCTGGGGTCAAGCTCAAGGCTCTGAGGCCCCAAGCAGAGTTTTACTTTTTATCACAAGGTATTTTATAGTTGGATAAAGTCAGTAAAAACCACCTATAATTCTTATTATTTAGGGTGGACTTTTTTCTGGTAGTAACCATGGTGATCCTTTAAGGGCCATCAATAGGGCCACCTCCTGTGTGCCAGGCACCTCACAGATGTGCCCTTGCTTAGTCCTCTGACCTCCAGGTGGGGTGGGTGGGTGACATTTCTGCCTAGGTCTGCCTTGCAGAGAGGGAGCCTGAGGTGCTAGGGGCAGCCCAGCCTGGTTTCAGAGCTGCCTTACTGCAGCGGCAGTGCAGCCCTCGGGCCATAGTCCCTGTCAGGATCCCCTGAGCACGCCTGGTGATGGTGACCCAGAGGCAGGCAGATGGTCCTCAGGAGCTGACAGCCCTGCACGCTCTGACTTCTCTGCTTTGTCCTGATCCTGTAGCATGTCTCAGCCCAGGGGAACCCTCGGAGCCTCTGGGTCCCCAGGCTGGCTTCCCGCTTCCTGTTCAGTGTGAGGTCAGGCCTATCCCTCCACCACACAAGAGCTCTCTGCAGGAGGGTATTGTGGGCCCCAGCTGGCCTGTCTGTCAGGCCTCCAGGTCCGCGGCATGCTCAGGAGTCCAAATGGCCCGCCTGCCTGGCTCACAAATGTAGCTCTGAGGCTGTGTTGTGCCAGGGCTGAGGCTGGATCCCATTCTGGTTCAGAGGTGGCCCCAGAGATGGGGTCCCTGTTGGGTTGTGGAAAGGCCATGGGTGGTTCTCAGACCGAGTAGCCGGAGTGGCTGGCAGCAGCAGGGGCAGGGTGGTGATGGTGGTGCTGAGGGTGAGCTGAGCAGGTGGCAGGGGTCCTTTGCAAGGGACATGGGGGGCTGGCATGCTGCTGCCTCGAGTGGCCTCTTGGAGCCGTGTTTGAGCCTCAGCCTTGCCGCCCACTAATGCGTAGTACCCTTGGCAGAGGCCGCAGGAGGGTGGATCTGGGGGCACCTAGCCGCTTCTGCCTTCCCTGACCCTGCCTTGCCCATTCTTTAAGGTGGCAGTGTGCCTTTGTCAAAGAGTGCTCTCACTCAGAAGCCGCATTATGTGCCAACCCAGCTGTGCTCTGCACTTCTTAAGTACAGATCCTCTTGGTGCCAGCCAGTGCTGGGCACTGACCACCCCTGCAGCCAGCCTGAGGTGTGCGTGTGGGACCTGGGCCTGCTGGTGCCATGTGGAGGGCAGCAGCGGGGACAGCTTCATGGTGCGGGGAGTGAGAGGGGCACTGGCTTTAGCCTCTGGGGCAGTCAGGTCCTGCTGGAGCCAGCTCTGCGGGCAGCCTGGCTGGCCCTGGCCCTGACCACAGGGAGCTACTGGGTCAGAGCTCACCTTGTCCACCCTCTCACTTCATGGATGCCGGGCATGTGGGTGTCCTCGTGTCCTAGAAGGCGTGTGGGCTGGGCCCAGTGGCTCACCCCCACACGTGTGTGGCCATGGCTTTACGAGTCAGTGCCCATGCTGCTCAGAGGGGAAGCTGAGGTCGAGAGGAGTCCGGACTCAGGCCTATGTGTAGGTGCTGGCCCCAGGGGTGGCCCTGGCTGGAGGCTCCTGGCCTGCAGCTACCCCAAGCCTCTAGCCACATGCGGTGGGCTTCAGGGACACCCCGGGAGAGTGAAGCTCGCAGTTGGTGGGCAGTGCAGCTCGGGCCTGAGGGGAGCTGGGCCTGCCTCCCACACCACCCAGAAGGGGTTGGCTCTGGTATGTGTGGAGGGCACTGTGTGAGTCTGAGGGTTGCTTAGTGAAGCCCACAGACTGGCTTCCCGCAGTCTAGAGGCGAGAGGTCTGAGGTAAGGTGTGGGCAGAGCTGGTCTCTTGAGGCTGTGTGGGTTGCACCCATCCAGGCCTCGCGCTGGCTTGTAGGTGGCCATCTCTGCCTGTGGCTCTTCACCTTGTCCTCCCTCTCCGCCTGTCTCTGTCCTAATTTCCTGTTTTATAAGGACACCAGTCATACTGAGGCCCACCCTAGTGACCTCATTTAATTTAATTACCCCTGTAAAGACCTCATCTCCAAATAAGGTCACATTCTGAGGTCCTGGGGATTAAGAAAGAATTTCTGAGAGACACAGACCTCCTGCAGGGTCAGGAGTGCTGGCGCCTACAAACCCCAGCACTTGGAGCTGGCCCTGCTCCCTGCAGCCATGCGGCCTGTGGGGGGTGCCCAAGTTCCATCTCCATCCCCGTCTCTGCTGCAGGATGGCCTGGTCACTCCTGCTTAGCCCAGCCCTGGGGCAGGGCACACCGTGGCACCAGGTGCACTGGTGGTGATGACTCAGCGGTAGCATGGCTTCTGGGAGGCAGGTGGGTGTGGCCTCTCCTTCCTCTGCTGGCTGCCAGGACAGTAGGCATCCAGCCCTGGCCCCTCCTTTCCCTGAAACCCCAGCCTGGGTGGGCTCACCTGCCGGGGACCTGAAGTCCCCTCACTGTGCTCATCTTCAGGCAGCTAGGGGGCCCACGAGAGCAGGGGGCCTGAGTGATCTCTGCCCTCCGTTTTATCCCATCCGGGGACCTGGATGAACCCAGGGATTGATCAGACACCTTCCCTTCTTTCCATTTTAGGAAAATCCAAGAAGAGGAAGGATTTACGGATATCCTGTGTGTACAAGCCACCTGCGCCCAACCCCACGTGAGTCTGCCTCCGTTTCTCACGCCAGCGCAGCCAGAAGAGGCTTCCTGAGGGGGCTTAGAGGAGACAGCAGCCGGTTGGGTGGGGCTGGCTCGGCCTGCGCCTTACCTGCCCCGAGCAGTGTTGGGCTAGGAGGGCGGCTGTGGAAACCGGCAGGCATTGCCGTCTGCCCTGTGCCCCATCCTCATCTTGGAGACTGTTAAGGCCATGCTGGCGTCTGGCTTGTACTTAGCAGTGAGGTGGCCCCGGGGGCTGTCCTGAGGCCAAGACTGTCCTTGCCCTGTGGTCTTCCCATCCCTTAGAGTAGTGGTTCTCCCTGAGGCTCATGGGCTGCGCTTTCTCCACAGACCCCCCCGGAACCTGGACTCCCGGACTTTCATCACCATTGGAGACCGAGTAGGTGCAGCGGGTGGGACCTCCCATTTATCTGACAAGGGGCCAGTGGGAGGTGGTCATGGTGGTGGACAGTCTGGGCTCTGAAAAGAGCTTGCCCCACCTTGGAGGCTGTGGTCCTAGAGGGGAGTAGCAAGCCTGCCTCCAGGGGCCACGGGCACCTCGGAGTGTGGGCCTGAATCCTTGACACCTGTGTCATCTGAGCAGTGTGTGAATCACACAGGCTTCTGGACTGCCGGAGCTGTGGAGTCACACCTGGCCTGTGTCGGATCGGCGTTGCACATGGTGCTTGGGAGGGCGCCAGGTGTAGAGAGCCTGACACAGGGACCGCACGACACTGAGGGCCATGCCGGGGCCTTCCTGGTGCATCGCTGGGGCCTCTCCTGGGCTAGTCATACCTCCCCGGCACTGCCGGAGCCCAGGGTCCTGCTCGTCTACTTGCTTGTGCCCCGTATATGTGCCTCTTCCAGTGGAGAGAAGCCCTTTCGCTGCCAGACCTTCGCTTTCCCTCTGCGTCTCTAGTGCCCGAGATGGGCTTGCACACAGTCGGTGCTCGTAGATAGTAATCAAGCAGATGATTCCTTCCCCCAGGGTGGGGTGCTTCCCCTGGGTCCTTTGGATATTGGTGCTGCATCTTTTTTATAGAGGACAATGTGAAGTTCAGAGTGTCACTTTCCAAAGGTTATATGGTAGGGGGAGGCTGGCACAGGTTTTGAACTCAGACCTGACCAGCTTGTCCTTCGTTCTTTCCACTGGATGAGGGATAAGGGCCAACTCCTGACTTGGCAGTCACCAAGTTCTCTCTTTTTTGTCTCCTCAGAACTTTGAGGTGGAGGCTGATGACCTGGTGACCATCTCAGAGCTAGGCCGTGGAGCTTATGGGGTGGTGGAGAAGGTGCGGCATGCCCAGAGTGGCACCATCATGGCTGTGAAGGTGAGGTAGGCCCACCCTGCTCCAGCTCTGCCCTGCCGGGAGGTGACTGGAAGGCTGCCTGGGGGAGGCACAGGGTTGCACCTACAAGACGATCTCCTGCCACGCGGCCTGCTCACTTGCTGTGATGAGTGACGGGGAAGGGCTTTTTGGGGCAGGCTGGGCCTTGGTCCCAGCCTCCTTGTCAGGGTGAGAGTGCTTGGCCTGCACACACGCCCTGAGCCTCATCCTTCCCTGCAGCGTATCCGGGCCACCGTGAACTCCCAGGAGCAGAAGCGGCTGCTCATGGACCTGGACATCAACATGCGCACAGTCGACTGCTTCTACACTGTCACCTTCTATGGCGCCCTCTTTAGAGAGGTTCGGGGATTAAGAGGGGCTCGGGGATTAAGAGGGGCTCCTGTCAGCTTCTCTGGAGTTCTCTATGAGAAGTGTGGGGGTGGGCAGGGACCAGCAGCCGCTGTCATTCTGCCCTTCTTGTGTGCCAGATGCTGAGGACTTGGGGGACGTAGGGGCACCAGACACAGCACCTTCTTCCTGCCCACCTGCAGAGAGCACAGGTCCAGGACTGGGCTGTCTGGTACCTCTGCTTCCCAGCTCTTCCTGCCCTGTCCCATGCCTCAGTTTCCTTGTCTGTAAAAGGCGATCGTGTACACTTCCTGAAGTTGTCATGGAGGTGAAACGATGCGTTGTGGGCCGGTATTCATTGATTGCTGTAGTTTGTGTGGCCATCTGCCTCCTGGCAGCACCCAGGAGGGCTGGAGCTGGGCCCCAGGCAGAGAGCAGCCATGAAGACGTGAGATTCTGGGTTGGATTCTAGGTCTCTGGCAAGGACCGGGCGTTAAGGGGAGAGAGGAGGTGAAGGCGAGGCGGAGGCCGTGCCTGGGGAGTGGAAGGACGGAGCGGTCGCTCCTGCACCGGCGCCGGTGATGTGATATGCGGGTCTGGGGTGAGGAGGAGACAGAAGTCAGGTTGGCTGGCATGGCTTGCAGTGGAGACTTACCTGTCTTCGCAGAGCTGTTCCAGGGTGGTCCCTGGATGCCCTGCCCTGCCTCACTCTCTAGGACCTGGAGAGTCTGAGCCTCCTCTCACATGGCACTGAACACTCTTGTGAGCCAGGCCCAAGCTGGTGGGGAGGCCAGGCTGGGGTGCTGCCTTCCCACAGGCTGTCCTGGATGTGCAGAGGTGTGCCAGGAAGAGGGAGCAGGTTACTGCAGGAGAGGGAACCATCTGCTAGGGCAGAGCCGGCCTGGGGGACAAGCTTGCTGGCTGTGCTGTGGAATTAGGGTTCAGATAGCGGAAACTAAGCTGGTAGAGCCTGTAGGCCAGCCCAGGAGCCGGCAGAGTGGGCCAGGTGACAAGGACCAGGCCGGCTGGGGCAGGTTGGCTGGGTCAGGCAGTGCGGGTCCTGAGGTTGGAGAAGGTGGGAGGCAGGTGGGAAGTGCCGGGTGGGCGGGCACTATCCTGTCCTAAAAGGTGGAAGTGAGTCTGTCCTTCATCAGCTTGGGCCTATGGGCCTGGCTGAGCACTGGGTGTCCTCTGCAGGGAGATGTATGGATCTGCATGGAGCTCATGGACACATCCCTGGACAAGTTCTACCGGAAAGTGCTGGAGAAAAACATGACAATTCCAGAGGACATCCTGGGGGAGATTGCTGTGTCTGTAAGTGGCTGGGCCGGTGGGTGGGCATTTGCGGGGCATAGCCAGCAGGACTGACTTGGGCAGAGTGAGTATTCCCAGAGGAGTATGTCCTTGCCCTAAGACGAGTGCCTTCTCACTGGGGAGACTTAGGCCTGGCACTCCTGGAGTCCACAGGTTTGGCAGGTCCCTGCCTCCGGGCCTTCAAATGCATCTATCTGGGACCAGTTTTTTTTTTTTTTTTTTTTGGTATTTTTTGAGACAGAGTTTCACTGTGCAGTTCAAGCTGGCCTTGAGCTCACTTTGTAGCCCAGGCTGGTCTTGAACTCACAATGATCCTACTGCCTCAGCCTCCCAAGTTCTGGAATTACAGGTGTGTGCCACCACGCCTGGCTACTGGGACCAGTTTTTAACAAAGCACTTAGTATGTATAAGTGCCTCATGCTAAGGGTGCTGTGAGGCAGCCCGCAGAGAGGCCAGCTGAGATGCTCTTCGAGTCTAAACGTTTTTAGATGAAGACAGCAACTCTGGGCTTGCACAGACACCCTTGCATCCAAAGGAAAAAGGGAAATGGGATGAGGTTACCTGCCGTTCTCAATCCTGACTGCATCTGGAAACCTTAAAACATTGCATGCCTCAAACTCACTGCTAAGGCCCCAGGGAGGTGGCTCTGCTGAGGGAGGCAGAGGAGCCAGGGAGCCCATAGGCCATGGCGATGCCTTCTGCAGTGGCAGCTTGTGGTCTGCAGGAGTCCCGGGCAGGTCCTGTGAGCCTGGTGAGGGAGGGGCAGGAGGCCAGTGAGTCTGCACCAAGATGGCCGGGGCTCCAGGGCGGATGCTGGGGTGTGTGGAGGGGTGGGCCGCAGTGCGTTGTCACTGTTGATGCCACCTCCGGTAACGTAGTCCCGTCTCTCCTCTTCCCGTCCCTATCCAGATCGTGCGGGCCCTGGAGCACCTGCACAGCAAGCTGTCCGTGATCCACAGAGGTGAGTGTTCCCAGCTGCCAGCCACCTGAGTCTGGGCAGAATAAGGCTCAGGGAGAGGTAGAGTAGGTGCCCAGTGCCAGCCAGGCCGCTCTCTGCCCCAATCTGCTCTGAGCTGTTGGTGCTTGGAGCACACACCGGGTCCACCTGTGTCCTGGGCATGGCTGACCATCTCCCCTCGATGGACAGTTGACATATTGTAAAAGCCCAGGACCAGACGTGCCACCCTGAGTCCGATGGATGTTCACAGCTGTGGATCCACCTCTGCCAAGATGCGTGTGCCCCTCAGCCCTTTCTGGGTCCCTTTCCTGTCTGGTGTCCTGTGCCCGTGGGAGTTGGTGTGGTCTTGAATATGCGGCCTCTCATGGGTGTCATGCTTCTCGACTCAAGGTTGTGGCCCTTTTTTTGTTTGTTTCGGTTTGTTTTTCTTCCGGTACCAGGAATCGAACTCACGACCTTGCGCTTGCCAGCCAGGTGGTGTGCCGCTGAGCTAAATCCCCAGCCCCGGTTGTGGCCCTTTTAATTGATTCTGCTGCTGCTGAGCTCCAGTCCACACACTCAGACATGTTGCTTCTTGCTTTTTTCCAATTTTTGGTGTTGTGGGGGATTAAACCCAGGACATTCATGCTGAGCCACATCCCCCGCCCTTTTTGATTTTTTAATTTTTATTTTGAGACAGGGTCTCAGTGAGTTGCCCAGGCTGGGTTTGAACTTGCAGTCTTTCTGCCTCAGCTATACAGAGTGCTGGGGCTATGGGCGTGTGTCCCCATGCCTGGCTTAACGTACTACCTTTTTTTTTTAAATGAAGAAGGTTGAGCTGCTTTTGACCTGTTGATTTGTGCCCCTGGGTCACAGAGCTCTGCACTTTGGCATGGAAACTTCCAGTCTTTTCTGCACAATTTCTGCACTTAGGTCTCCACAGAGACACGGGGTTCCTGTGTGTGCCTTTGCCTGTTGGTTCCCTGCTGCATGGGTCACCTACTCTGTTGTACACAGCACCTGTCCCATGCGTTAGCTGAGTGCTGCCTGCCTGTCACCTGTGCTCCCTGGGTCTTGTGTCCAGAGCGGGAAGGGTGGGCACAGGTGGCTCCCTGGCGATGTATCCATAACCACGTCTTCCTCGCTGTGGTGGAGGCCGGGGGAGGGGTGTCCTGGCTCTGTCCCCCAGCTGTGTGACCGGGGTGTGGCATGGCTCCCCTCACTGCCTCAGGTGCCTTTTGGGATCTTTGGGCCCTGGCGGAATCACCCCACAGGGCCTTGGGTGTGGGAGGAGATGGACCAGCTGGAGTGCGGCTCTGGCCTTGAGTGGGCTACAGGACTGAGAAAGGCTGTTCTGCCCCTGCAGACGTGAAGCCGTCCAACGTGCTGATCAACAGGGAGGGCCACGTGAAGATGTGCGACTTCGGCATCAGCGGCTACCTGGTGGACTCTGTGGCGAAGACGATGGATGCTGGCTGCAAGCCCTACATGGCTGTGAGTGGTGCTGTGTCCGGCTGTGCTGGCACAGGCCTGCTTGGCTGGGAGAGCTCTGCCTCTGGGCCCTGGGACAGGGCCTCTGCCACGGAGGGGCTCTGTACCAGTTACCTGCCCCTCAGGGCACCCCATTTGGGATGTAGCGTTCCTCAGGCATTGAAGGGCAGGTGTTGGCTGTAGGGCAGAGTTGGGCTGTGGCCTTCACTGGCCTCAGTTTCTCCTGCTGCCATATGGGCAGATGGAGCAGGTAGGAGCAGGGCAGGTGGAACACAGTGTGTGCTCAGTTGTGGGGTGAAGAAGCTCACGTCCCCGGGTCTGTCTTGCAGCCGGAGAGAATCAACCCTGAGCTGAACCAGAAGGGCTACAACGTCAAGTCCGACGTCTGGAGTCTCGGCATCACCATGGTACCGTCCAGGGCTGGGTCCTTGCTGGTCAGGTGGGCTGGGCGGCGCCGTGCCTGGGCCAGGACCTTGGGGAGCCTGGAAAATACTTTAGGTCTTACAAAATGGTTGACCTCGAAGTCTTAGGTGAAAAACGTGCTGTCGGAAATTTCTGTCTGTAAGGGAATGTCTGGGAGCTGCACAGTGATGCCTTCGTTTATGCATCACGAGAGGTCTCCATGCTCTATGACAGCAACCACTGCCTTGTCCCCAGAGCTCTTGGTGCGTGTTGAGAAATCACAGCCAAATCGAGCTGTTCCTATGCAAATAATTTCCAAAGCAAGGTAGTAAAGTCTCTGCAGATATTTCTTTCCAGCAGGAAGTGTGTTTCCTGTGGGCACCAGGTACATTTCCTTGGACAGGTGAGACTTTTCACCCCTGGGCCTGTGGAGCTGAAGGGGACCCTGACATGGGTGGCTGTGGCACCTCTGAGCTCCAGGTGGAGGAATGACCCCTCGCTCCTTCCAGAACTGCCTGGTGGAACCCCACTCTTCTCCAGGGTGCAGTCACGCTCTACTTGAGAAAGCCCAGCCATGTGCAGGCAGATCGCAGGGACAGGGGAACCGTTAGGATGTTCCCTCACCGAGCCTCCGCGCGCCCGGGGCAAGGGCATGGGGAGGGGTGCTGCATCACTGCGGCTGCCTGCCTTCGAGGTCAGGCCCGCTGACTCGATCGACTGCAGTGGTCGTTAGTTCCCCTTCCCCATCCCAGTCCTCAGGACTAATGTGCCTTCGCTGTCCCAGAGAGCCTGGCCCAGGGTCTCCCCTCTGCCTTGGGCCCCTTGCCTGTTGGTGTTGGGGGCAGAGGGTTGTCAGGCAGAATCAGATCCGTGGTAAGAAGGCGCTGGAGTGCCTTTGGGTTCTCTGGTCCCTAGTGGGGACCCCAGCCCAGCTCCAGCACTGTCCCCCAATAGCTGGCCAGGCCCCTTAGCCATCAGCCCCACCAGGTCCCCCACCTCACTTCCAGCAATGCACCTCAGACCTGCTGCATTGCTGACTGTTTATAAATTGGGGGTTCTTAGGTGTGATTGTTTGCTAATGACTCGCAGAACTCAGGAACAACCCCACTGTTTACTCCTGTGCCCTAAAGGAAGCAGCTCATGAATAGTCAGGGAAGAGTGGTGGGAGGTGGGGGTACCCAGTCAGGGCGTCTGTTCACCAACTCAGAGGCTCTGGGCGGCTTTTCCACCTTCATCTCCAGAAAGGTGCCGGGTTGGGTAGGTGTCAGCTCTGTTTGCTGGTCTTCCTGCTGCATCTGGTGTGGCTGGACTAGAAGCTCCCCAGAAGGCCTGATAAGTATGGGCTTCTCTGAGCAGCCTCCTATGGCATCCTCACCTCAGGCCCCTTGGGCCTCCTCTCTGTGTGGCCATGTTGGCATGGCTGGAGTGCTTTTGTGGCAGCTGGCTCCCAGCTGCAAACTCTTTAGAGATGGGCCTGGCATGGGCCGAGTCTTGCTTCTGCTTCCTTGCATTGGTCCAGCACCATGAGATCCACCCAAGTTCAGGAGGGGAAAGCTCCCCGCCCCTGGAGGTGCAGCAGCTTGGCAGGAGACCAGCCACCCAGAGCAGGGAAGGTTCTCCCCAGAGGCTGCAAATGCAGTGGAACTGCACTATAAAACAGGAAATCCTAGAGCCCCAGTATGAAGCATAGAGGAAATGGAATAGACTCCAGCATAGGACAGAGGAAATGGACTAGAACCCCAGTATAAGACACAGGTTAGACCCTATTGTAAAATAGGAAAAGTGGGGGAAATGACAGCTTATTTTCCTTAGAGACCCTCTTTCTCCTTTTTGCTAATGCCCACAATGTGTGTTCCCTGCTGTTGCTTCTTTGTGAAAGAAAAAGATTTAAAATTTTTGCCTTTTCAACTTAGTGTTACACATGGTCCAGATGCCTCTGAGCTGTAAAAACCTTTGTCAGCATCTCCTTCAACAGACCCTACAGCCGTATACTTGACTGTAGTGAGGGGTGCTTTACTTTTCTAATTGTTTCTTGCCTCCTGATGAACTCCTTGGTCAGCCTGGGGTGACTGTCAAGGCAGTGTGGCATGCCCTTGCAGGCGGGCGCTGGCCTTGGGAGCTTGCACATAGCGTAGGTGGTGCCCCAGCAGACAGGTCACACTTGGGAAGGCTCTTGGCCCATAACGTGCAGTGGCCAAGTACTGGCCAGGTTGGCGTCACTGTAGAAGCCCCACAGGGATCCGACTGCTGCCTGCCTGCCTGAGACTGCTGCCTGTGGGGAGCGCGGCCCTTGGTGCTGGACCCTGAGGCTACTTCTAAATGTTTCTTCTAACAGGTGACACTGTACCCTGCGTCTTTGTGCCCAGAGGCAATTTTAATTTTTTTTTTAGCTCATTGGAAAAAAATTACCAAAAAAGGGATTATAAGGTCACGACTAGGGAGATTTTCTGCTTTTCTGACTATAAATTCTAGCTGGTCTTTCCCTTGCAGCCATGGAGGGGCCTCTCGTTTGCATGTTGGAATCAGTGAGCACCGTAAGGGACAGCGCCCTGAGTCTGCAGGGTTTCCTCCTCTGCACACAGGGTGACACCCACCCCAGTGGCCTGTGTGGGTCAGCTGCTGCCAAGGGCATGCTGTGCCGTGGCTGCAAAAGGGCCCGTAGCCCGTGGGAAGGCCCTTTCCAACGCAGTAATCCCTGCTTATTTGGGCGCCCGTTGCCAGCACCAGGCATCTGTCTGAGCTGAGGTCTCTTCTGCTCATTGCAGTGATCACAGCCTGTTGTTGAGGAGCCTTGTGCTGTCCCAGGAGGGGCCTGGGCTGACCTGACCTGTGTTTTCATCCCAGCAGTCAGACTGGGAGCCAGATTTGCTACCGGCTGGCCAGTCTATTCGACGGTGATTTCAGCCCACTCCAGACAGTGATAGAGCCGGAACCTGAGTGGGCATAGAGACCAGCTGACTTGATATGGCCGGTGGGGGTGGGGTGGGGGTCTAGGCTCAGCAGGAGGGTGAGATTGTGCCAGCCACTTGTCCAAGAAGAGGAGATGAGCAAGAGCGATGGGACGGAGGAGGAGGAGCAGGAGGAGGAGGAGGAGGAGGAGGAGGAAGGTGCAGCACGAGGTGTGGGGTGGGGGCTACAGAGGAGCCACAGACTCCCATGTTGGTGGGTGGGCAGAGCAGAGCAGAGGGAGCCACTAGACGCGGGCCTCAGGTGTCACGCACCTTCACCAGTGCAAGACAGGAGGCTTGGACTACAGCCATTTCATTTCCCCGTGCCCCTCTGCAAAAGCAGTAGCCTGAATAAAGGACAGCAGATGCTCAATCTGCGTTGGGAGGACACGAGGGAAGGCAGTGGCTTTTGGCGACCACAGACCTGAGACCCGGCTAACTGGCTGCTGACGCGCCTCACAGGGTGCCCACAGCCGTCAGCTCCCTAACGTTTCCAGGAGTGGAGGTGTAACCTGGCTTATTAGGTAAAATATTCCACATTCAAACTATCTGAAAGACTGATGCTCAGCTGGGCTGGGTGTGCCCCCTGAGCTGGCTCTCCAGCTGGGTCAGGGGTGCCCAGTCCTGGTGCCCCTGGCTTTCATGCCTGGTCTGCTGTGATGTGTGAGGGAGGTCAGTGACATGGCCCGTGGGCTGCCTTGTGACCTGACTCTGGGCGCTGGGCCGGGGTGCGCAGGTACTTCCAGCTCCAAGTTCTGGTTCATAGTGTGGTTTCATCTTGGGGCTGAGCCTGCTGACCCCACTGTCCCCATTACAGATTGAGATGGCCATTCTGCGATTCCCATATGAGTCCTGGGGGACCCCGTTCCAGCAGCTGAAGCAGGTGGTGGAGGAGCCATCCCCTCAGCTCCCAGTGGATCGTTTCTCCCCGGAGTTTGTGGACTTCACTGCCCAGTGGTGAGTTGCTAGCTCTTTCTGAATCACAACCTTTTTCCTGTAGTAAATAACCTGCCTCACAACACGGTGTCCAAGCGTGGAAGACAGAAATAGAGCATAAGGAAAATCTGACTAAACTGTGGTCTGTGGGGCGGTTCTAGTGCAGTCCTTTTAGAAAAGGGTGGGTCCAGTAGACAGGAAAAGAAAGAAAAGCTTATGGAGATGCAGATACATAAACAAGTTTGCTCTCATTGGTGTCTAGATCTTTGTCTCAAGCTAAGGAACACACCAGTGGGAGCTGTATAGAAATTAATCATGTTTAAGGGTACACAGGAAATAAGATGTGCAAAGCAACATCTTTATTTGGTATTGTGGACAAAGAGCTACTTGGAGGAAAATTCATAGCTTTTATTTCTTCTACTAGAAAATAGGAAAAGCTGAAAACATTTTCAGCCCAGCAGACAAAAGTCATTGGTCAGGTGACCCCTTTTAGCTGGGGCCTTTGCTGCCCCAGGACCAGTGACAAGTGTCCCCTCTGATTAAGGGTACCAAGTATGTGGTGGTTAGGCAGAGCATCTTAGGGTTCAAATCAGGGAAATTCCTTGGATCACTGTGGGAACAAAGATCCCACCAGGCGGGAGGAACTTGCCCCAAGCTTGCATGCGTGGATCCCCATTCCCTCTTGGGAGACCCCCAGTGGTCCAGCCCCTCCTTCCTGGAGCCCCTTCCTGGAGCACGTGTCCCCTGCTGCCGGACGGGGAGTCCAGCTTGCCTGGGCTCACCTGCTCCGTGCCGTGGCATCAGCTGCGCTCTTTTCCCCCAGCCTGAGGAAGAACCCTGCGGAGCGCATGAGTTACCTGGAGCTGATGGTGAGTGGGTGGGCGGCGTCTCCCCCGGCCCCGCTTCCTCGGGCTGGGCAGCCGAGGGTGGTGCTCCTTGTGCACAGAGCTCAGCCCGCTCCTGGCTCTGCACTCAGGCGTGTCAGGTCTTAGTCACTCACCACTTGTGGAGGTGCACTGGCGGTGCGGTGGGGCAGAAGGACCGTGGCGGCATCCGGGAAGGCTTCCTAGAGGAGGGGCCGTTAGAACTGAGTCTGGAAGGGTGAATATCGGTCCTTGCCGATAGAAAGAAGGGTGGAGAGAATGTTCCAAGCACAGGGCCCCCTGAGGGCAGAGGCCTGGTCGTGCTGGAAGAGCAAGGTTAGCGTGGCTGGAGGCCGGCCACAGGAGTTCAGGAGGAGCCACCAGCGCCCTGAGAGCCTTGGAGGCCTTCCTAGGGCGCTGGGGTTGCAGGAAGGTGAGGAGGAGTTTCCCACGCAGGAGGAGCACATAGGGGCTGAGGTGGCTTGGGAGGAGGGGTGCCTCCCCGTCGTCCCACACGTGACCGTGACTTCTGTTCCTTCCAGGAGCACCCTTTCTTTACTTTGCACAAAACCAAGAAGACGGACATTGCTGCCTTTGTGAAGGAGATCCTGGGAGAGGACTCATAGGGGGCTGGCCTGGGACCCCACTCTGGCCCTCCAGAACCCCAAAGCTCCCTCTGCTGGGGCAGTACATGCCCACAGTCATAAGCTACTGCCACCCTGGCCCTGGGTGTTCTGGGAGGAGTTGAGGGGCTGCTCCCACTCGGCTCTGCAACCAGCCGTTTGCCCCAAGTGCCAAAGAACCAGACCTCTGGGGCTCCCAGCTGGGCCCGTGTGCGACTCCTTAGTGCCTCTGCCCTGCTGCTCCGAGGACCCTGCATCTCCACCCCAGACCCTGGACTTGGAGAGGCCTGGATGTGCCTGCTGGGTGCTGCTTCCTGTTGCAGAGAAGGCAGCCCGTGCCCCCGTGGTCAAGGTCACGGCCTCCGCCCAGCCCTGGATGACACCACGTTGTATATTTTTATATCTCAACTCAATGGACTTTGCACACTCCGGCCCAGGGCGGAGGACACAGTAAGGGGAGGAGCCATGTGAATCCCTGAAAGACTCCCACAAGGGAGATGCCTTGAGCCTCCGAGGCCTTCACCCCAGCAGGGCCTCCAAGGGGTGCACCAGTCACCTGGTCCCCACCTGCCACCTCTAAGGGTGTCTGCTCACCTGTTCTTTTTTTTTTTTTTTAATTTATCCTCTGTTGACTTTTGCTTTGTGGGGTTAGCTGTTTTTTTCTTGCATGGTTTGGAGCTGCTCACTCTTCTACCACTTCCTGGGGCACCAGCAGGGGGAGACCTGTCTCTGCCCAGACTGGGTTCTAGAGGTGGGCCTAAGGTCTCTGCTCGGAGTGTGCCTGGAAGCTGTTCCCCACTCTCCTTGAGAGTGACCAGCTCCACTGGGAATGTGGGTTTGCTTTGGTGTTGTTTAAAAAAAAAAAAGAAAAAACTTTTTTTTTTTCAGAAAGACCTGCCCATCTCGCTCCTTTCCCCAGTGGGGCAGGTACCTTGTTGCTGTTTTAATAAAAAAAAAAAAAAAGTGGGACAAATGTTGTGTGAGACTGTGAGTGGTGAACCCCGCTCCTCAGGGAACGGGCTCCCGGGACAGCGGGCCAGCTGTGACTGGGGAGCTGCTCTGCTGACCTCCCAGGGCCTGCGCCTGACCCGCGCTCCTCCACGTGAGGACGCGGAGGCGCCCAGAGGGCTGGATACTGCACAGAGCAGGGAACACACGCAGGCCCAGGCCCAGGCCCTGGCGGGGCGATGACGGGCAGCAGCGCGGAGCGGTGGGCACCCCACAGGAGCTGTGCCGGGCTGGACGTGCACCTCACCGCGGGCGCTGCACGCTTCCTCGTGACACGGCGGGAACCCCCGTAACTCGCCGAGGCCAAAAGAAGCTGGGGCTCGGGGCAGGGAGCACAAGGTAGACGCAGCCGCCCTCCATCTTCCGCCGTGGAGGCCGGTTTCCACCGCCGGGCCTTTGCACGCACTGCCGCTCCCTAGACCGCCGCTCCTCCGTTCCTCCCGGCCAGCGCCGCGCCCCTCCTCGAGGCCTCCGGGCTGCCCTCAACAGAGCGTGCCTCTCTGCGCGCTCGTGTCTGTCCCTGGCGCGCGAAGCGGCCGCCCCGAGCGCAGGCTGCACGTTTGCGGATGGACAGCGCGTGCAGGGACGAGAGCAGCCCGCACAGCCGCGGGAGGAGCGGCGCAGACCGGCCCGCGAGCGCATGTGCGCGTGTGGCTGTGCGCGGGCCGTGCTCCTCCCGCGGGCTGGTGCTGGGGGCGCGGCCGCCGTCGCAGCCCGCAGCCACCAGGAGGCGGCAGAGCCTGGGCTTTGAGCCTTCCCTGCGTCCTCGGAGCCCCGCCCGGCTTCCCAGCGCCTCGGTCCTGGAGAGGCGGGGACTCTCGCGGCGCCTGCGACCTTCTCTGCGGCTGAGCGCCTGGAACAGAGCGGCGACCCGCCCTCCCGTGCACTGCACGCCCCTGCCCCGCGCAGAGCCGGGCTCTGGGGCCCATGCAAGCTGACCTGGCGCACCGGTTCTCGTGGTGCACAGGTCGCTCCCAGAGAAATTCACAGCTTACAAAGCACGTGGCAACCTACCAAAAGGGCTTGCAAAGTAGTTTACAGTTTGCAGGTCTGCGTACAGGGGTTCAAAGCACTCTCAAGTTTACATAGTTCACAGTTTGCTAAGCCCTGGCCGAATGAGACACCACTGTATCATTTGCATCCTCTGCATCTTACTGTGAACGCCAGCTGTTTGCAGGTTGTGTTACCGCTTATGGGACGCTTCAGGTTTTACAAAAAGTGTCCAGTCATGGACACATGGACGCGGGAGAGCCAGTGTGCAGATCACACTGACATTTACAAGGCACAGGGGTAGGCCCTGACAGTTTGTGCAACCCATGACCCCGGAGATGGTGTGTTTCCCTCTCCGCTCCTACCGCACGGTGGCAGGCCTGGGTCGGGAGGCCCTGGCGCCTGGATCGCTTTCCCTCAGGCAACAGGCTCTGGGCAGGTGTCCCTCGCAGCCCAAATTAATGTTTCTGGGCTGACAGATGACAGATGCCTGTGGACTTTTCTGTTCAATTACACCTTTGCATGAGGCAGCATTAAAGTCGCAGCACACAGCCTGTTCAGGAGGAGGGAGCTGCCTCTGATGGACACTTCACAAATTCTTTTCTGGAAGCCAAGCAGGCGGCCTCCTCAGTGAATGTCAGCTTCATCTCTTCCTCTCCTCAGAACCTGCTGTGGCTCCCACCTCCTCCAGTCGGACCCTCCCGTGGCTCACAGACCCCAGCACAGCCCTCCCACCACTCTTCATGCACATGGGCTCGGATGCCCCACGCACTGATGTGCTCCCGACCTTGGCGTAGCTGCCCTCTCCTGCTGGGACTCTCCCTGGAGATGTGCTGCTCCCAGAGGCCATCCTCAGAGAGGCTGCTCTGCCTCTGGCCTGCCCTGATTTCTTTGTACATTTCATTTCTGTCTATTCTCTGCCTCTGGTTCTGCACTGGGAGGGGTCCGTCCTGCTCAGAACGGTGATAGAGGAAACAGGGCAGGCATGCAGAAGCTGGTCCCCGGGCCCAGGCTGAACTGGAGCTGGGTAGTGCCTCCCTCCCACCAACACTGCCAGAACTGTGCCAGGGTTTGTGCTGGGCAGAGCCCTCGGGGCACTGGGTGGGGCTCTGCATTCTAGAGAAGGGGAGTGTGGGGAATACGGGCAGTGGGGGCAGCATAGCGGGAGACAAGTGCCTCCACTGGGCGCCCCGGCACACCGGCTCCCCAGTTCTGTTCCCGAGGGCGAGGTCCCTGAGAGGCCTCTGCTGTTCACTTGGCCACTGTGGACTTCAGCACTGCAGTCCTAAAACATACCATCTCTCTGCCCTTGGCTTTACACCCCAGGGGAGGGCCAGAAAGCAACTCCCTCTACCACTTATCTCAGGCTGCTTTCCTGGCTCCTTGGTGGGCGTGGTTGCCTTTCCTCTCAGCAAGGGTGTGAGGGCATCCACCAAAGCTCCCTCTGATGCCTGCACCCCTCCCAGCCATGCCCCAAGAAGGCCTGAGCTTCTGCTTGCATGCCTCCCTGCTGAGGCACTCACAGAGCTTCACACTCTGGGGCCTTCTCAAGGCCTTCACTCAAGACCTCGTGTAAACTCGGGCACCCTAAATGCTCATTTCGCTGCCTCTGTGAAAACCGACTCGAATCCTTGGGGAGCCAGGTGGGAGGGTCTATATATACACCAGCTGTACCCAGTTTAGCGGAGCTTGGAGCTTGTGTGTGTCCTGCCCAGTGGTTCCAGAGGGTGGCCAGGTCCAGGGAGAGCCCTGGAGCCAGGTAACCAGTCCCTAGCAGAAGCTCTGCTCCACTCCAGTGGGCCGCCTGCCAAGCCAGGTTTGGCTGGAGCCACCTTCTCTGGCGTTGCAGAGGCTGCGGGCTGCTCTCCCTCTGTTCCTGCCGGCCTTGTGGGGGCCGGGGCTGGGGGAGGTATCGGCAGCCGCACTGTCTGGTTGGGAACGGAGAGCTGCTCTGGGCACCCAAGAAACTCTTCCTTTCTGCAGCCCCTCGTCTTCCACGGTTCCCTGTTGCCCATGGCACCAAAGGAAAGGGGGCCAGACACGAGCTGTCCGCACAGGGTCCTGTCTGGTTTGCCCTCTGAAGTACCCACTGTGTACCAGGCAGGACTCCAGCCCTGGGTAGCCCTCCGCAGTCTCAGTGAGGGCCTCAGACTCGGCAGGCACAGACTCACACGTGCTCAGATCAGTGTTTCTCACCTTTGGCTATTATCACTCCCTGCGGAGAAACACCAAGTTAAATTAGAATTAATTAATTAATTAAAACTAATTAAGCTTAGTTATGATGAAGCGACTCAGCTTGGTGGATTGACTACATTATTTAAGTCTGAATTTCGGAGCTCCTGAGGTGGAGGGGATTGGCGGCCCTGAAGAGGAAGAGGGTCTGAGGGTGGAACGCATGGGCCCTTTGGAGGCTGGGAGGCTTGACCGATTCCCAATCAAGGGAACCCAGCAGGGGTTTTGAGCAGAAGACAGGTGTGCTCTGATCTGCAGGAACAGAAATGTAGCTGAGCATGTTGGCCATACCTGTAATCCCAGTGCTCTAGGAGGCTGAGGCAGGAGGATCATAAATTCAAGCTCAGCCTGCAGAATTTAATGACTCAGTGAGATCCTGTCTCAAAAAATGAAAAGGACTGGGAATGTAGCACATTCTGAAGGCTCTGGGTTCATTTCCCGGTGCTGAAAAACAAAAGGAAAAGAAAAAGAAAAACGAGCACAGCAAAGCCATTGCACTGCGATATCCCTGTCTGTGCCAGGCAGACGGCTTTTGCCCTTAGATCCCTGCTCTGCAGCCATGTGAAGATCTAATCCACCTACCACCCAGCTCAGACGGTCCTGTGGGTTCTCTCATCTCAGGCTGTGTGACCTTGAAGATGTCCCATTTCCTCTCTCTGCAAACTGGGAGCTGATGCTATCCCTGCTGGAAGTTGCCAAGGTGGTCCAGGGTGGCCACACTCCTGGTATTCAATTCGTGCTCCCATCTTGCTGGTCCCTGTCCTCCCCTGTGCCCTTGGGGCCAGGCCCCCACTTGTTCTGCCCCCACAGGCGCCTTCAGAGCCAACTGTCCCCCATGACACACCCACACCTGAGCTTGGCTGGCCCTGAAACCCTGGTCTCATAGCCAGAGGCGCTCTAGTTCTCCCAGGCTGTTTGGGCTGGTGCAGGCAGACCCAGAGCTGGACTGAAGTACGGGCAGAGTCTGGCCGGGCACTTGTCACTCACTTGGCGCACTGGCTCTGTGGGCACCCTTCAGCCAGTCTCCCCGTCGGTCCCCAGGCTCTGCTTGGCTGGGTGTGAGGTGGAAAACAAGATGACTCCATCCAACCTAGGGGAGGGGGTTTTCCTGGCTTGGTGGTGGGACTTGCAGAATGCATAGAATTTTTAGGCATGAGTGGTACTCCAGGGACCTGGGCATCTAAGAAAATCTGGTCAAGATTCTGTGATAATCTTGGCCCCAGGCATGAAGCTTCAGGTTCCCAAGCCATAGCCTGTTCCTCTCAGCCCATGCACTGGGAAATTGGACACTTCCCAACCAAGACTCAGCACAGCGGCTCCTTTCTGACTAGGAAGGGTTTTGGGTGCTGGGTAGCTAATACATCCAGCATGTAGTCACTGTACCCTCCCTTTCTGCCACGAGCTCCTGCTTATCCCTCAAAACTCACTCATTGGCCCTGTCTTTCTGACGCCTTCCTGGACTCAATGTGGCCCCACCAGAGAGGCGATTTACCTGTAGCAGGTGCCTTGGTGTCTACTTTCCCTGGGGCCCTTGCTCCTGAAGGTGTGGCTGCTTAACTCTCCAGTCAGGGCAAACCTGCCTCACGGTTCTCTAAGGCTGCTTGCTTGGAAGCCAGGTCCTGGGGGCCAGGGACCAGGAGTACCTGCCAGCTGGGTCCCTGATGTCTCTCAGGCCTCCTCACCCCATGAACCCTAGTTGTCCGGAGGCCGTTATGGCGACTACATATCTTTGGTGCCTCTTTC